ATTTTTCATCCTTTAGGGCTCCATGTACACGGGGCTTTTGGAAAACTCTTCTGAACGATGGAAACTGACTGCTGGAAAGCGGAGGTTAAAAAACGGCAGTTTAGCTGCGTTTGCATACCGCATTTATCCGCTTTTGCGTTTAGAAGCGATTTTAAAAGATAACCTCAGGAGACCTTCCAAAATGCCCAGAATGCACTGAAAAATAGTCAAAAATTAACTATTTCAGACATTTTGAGAGAGCAGAAGCAGAGAGAGCAGTATGTGTTGAGATGACCTGTCTTTTCTGGTTGTATTCACTATGGATCCCACCATGAGCATAATGCGGCACGTTCTACCATCTTTTCCTTCACGCCAAACCTGGAACTGACTGCACTGGTGTACCGGGTCCATTTGAATACATGGAAAATGCTTTACATGCATTTCTAATGATGAAAAAAGGCTTTGGACATCTGGACATGGAACAGTTAAAAAACACTTCTAAACGGAAATGCTTATAAACGCGGTAAACCGCATTTGCAAGCGTTTACACATGTGTATAAGCATTTGAAACGCCAGTAAAATCTACTCCTGAACACAAGTTTGGTGCGTTAAAAAAAAAAGACAGTTAACTCAACTGCCTGTAAATGACTGTGTGTACATGGACACATAGGAAAGCATTAGGGAGAGTTCAGGGGCTGCTGAAAAAATGCAGAAAAGCTCCTGAACATCAGTTTAGGAGCTGCAGTGTACATGAGCCCTTATTGCATCTCATTGCTGCTGATTTCCTGCTGTCTATTTGCCGCTACTTTGTGTCTACGTGCACTTCAATGGTGGCTGCATGGTGATTCTCTGGAAAGACTTCTCTAATAGTGATCATGGGCCATTCTTAAAGTTATTGTAAGGCCGGCCATACATGGGTCGATTTCCTAACGATTTTTCAATTGAAAATCAGACCTAAGAATAATCGAATGATTTTCGCTCTGTTAGTGGGGCAATGGCACTGGCTGATTTTCATGGGTTCCTCCCCATTTTGTTTATCGCATGCTGGAAAATTTGTGAAAAATGACCAATTTTCGAAATCTTTGGTGGCACCATCGGATTACAGAATTAAAGATGTCTTTGATTTTCGATCGCAAAATTGTTCGGAATTCGACTCATGTATGGCCTGCTTAAGCCTTCGGGTTTTTTTTCTTCTTCGAATAATAAGCATGTTGTACTTACCTACCAATAAACATAATAGTCTAGCACACGGGTGTCAAACTGGCGGCCCTCCAGCTGTTGCCAAACTACAAGTCCCATGAGGCATTGCAAGATTGGCAGTCACAAGTATGACTCCCGAAGGAAAAGGCATGATGGGACTTGTAGTTTTCAACAGCTGGAGGCCGACAACCACATAAGGCAATCATATCAACAAAATGTCCTTCTTTTCTCCGCGTTTTAAAACAAATGTCCCAAAAATCCACATGGTGGGAGAAATCTTCTAAATCTTCACATAAAACACCAATAGTGCTTGATCCACCACCACATAAACTTGCCACTCCCCCTCAATTTAATTATTATTCATTTCAGGTATTTATATAGCACCATCAATTTACACAGCGCTTTACATATATATTGTACATTCACATCAGTCCCTAACCCTCAAGGGGCGTACAATCTAAGGTCCCTAACTTACATTCATACATACACATACTAGGGCCAATTTAGACCAGAGCCAATTAACCTACCAGCATGTCTTTGGAGTGTGGGAGGAAACCAGAGTATCCAGAGGAAACCCACACAGGCGCAGGGAGAACATACAAACTCCAGGCAGGTGCTGCTGTGGTTGGGAATTGAACCAATGACCCTAGTACTGCCAGGTGGAAGTGCTAACCATTTAGCCACTGTGATATCATGTGTAATACTCATGTAAAAATACCAGAAAAACAGCCCATAATGTACACTGTGGGATGACATCAGATGTGTAGCTCCACCCCCTACACGCGTTACATCCTGGGTAGAACTTCCTCAGCAGACGACTTCCTCAGTAGACACCAACTGAGGAAGTCCTGCCCAGGATGTAACTTGTGTAGGAGGTGGAGCTATGCATCTGACGTCATCCCGCGGCCATCTTGGAGAGATGTGATGAACCTGTGTATGCTTTGTACTATGCACTACAGCTTGTAAGTTTTAATCATTTTAGCAGTGAGGAAGTTTTTTCAGCAGTATACACTATGGGCTGTCTTTCTGGTATTTTTACACGAGTATTACACATTATATCACAGAAGGAGTAACAAGTGGATGAAAAATGTATATTGGATCACTATTTGCACTTAAAGGGAAAGCACTTATGACTTACAGTTAGCACAGAGGTCAATAAATTGAGGTGAGCGGCAAGTTTATGTGTGGTGGATCAAGCACTATTGGTGTTTTATGTGAAGATTTAGAAGATTTCTCCCACCATGTGGATTTTTGGGACATTTGTTTTAAAACACGCGGAGAAAAGAAGGACATTTTGTTTATATGATTGCCTTATGTGGTTGTGCTAGACTATCATGTTTATTGATTTTTTTATTTTAGTTGATGTGGAAGACATTTTAGTGTTTAGCAAAGCATCCATTCTAATTTCTTTGGCACTTTATCATATTTTTGTCATAATATCTTTGGCACATACAGGTGAAACTCAAAAAATTAGAATATCGTGCAAAATTTCATTTATTTCAGTAATGCAGCTTAAAAGGTGAAACTAATATATGAGATAGACTCATTACATGCAAAGCAAGATAGTTCAAGCCGTGATTTGTCATAATTGTGATGATTATGGCTTACAGCTCATGAAAACCCCAAATCCGCAATCTCAGAAAATTAGAATATTGTGAAAAGGTGCAATATTCTCGGCTCAAAGTGTCCCACTCTAATCAGCTAATTAAGCCATAACACCTGCAAAGGGTTCCTGAGCCTTTAAATGGTCTCTGTCTGGTTCAGTAGGAATCACAATCATGGGAAAGACTGCTGACCTGACAGTTGTGCAGAAAACCATCATTGGCAACCTCCATAAGGAGGGAAAGGTAATTGCAAAAGAAGTTGGATGTTCCCAAAGTGCTGTATCAAAGCGCATTAATAGAAAGTTATGTGGAAGGGAAAAGTGTGGAAGAAAAGGTGCACAAGCAGCAGGGATGATCACAGCCTGCAGAGGATTGTCAGGAAAAGGCCATTCAAAAGTGTTGGGGACTTTCACAAGGAGTGGACTGAGGCTGGAGTCAGTGCATCAAGAGCCACCACACACAGATGGATCCTGGACATGGGCTTCAAATGTTGTATTCCTCTTGTCAAGCTACTCCTGAACAACAAACAACGTCAGAAGCGTCTTACCTGGGCTAAAGAAAAACAGACCTGGTCTGTTGCTCAGTGGTCCAAAGTCCTCTTTTCTGATGAGAGCAACTTTTGCATCTCATTTGGAAACCAAGGACCCAGAGTATGGAGGAAGAATGGAGAGGCACACACTGCAAGATGCTTGAAGTCCAGTGTGACGTTTCCACAGTCTGTCTTGATTTGGGGAGCCATGTCATCTGCTGGTGTTGGTCCACTGTGCTTCATTAAGTCCAGGGTCAACACAGCCATCTACCAGGAGATTTTGGAGCACTTCATGCTTCCTTCCGCAGATGAGCTTTATGGGGATGCTGACTTCATTTTCCAGCAGGACTTGGCACCTGCCCACACTGCCAAAAGCACCAAAACCTGGTTCAATGACCGTGGGATTACTGTGCTTGATTGGCCAGCAAACTCACCTGACCTGAACCCCATAGAGAATCTATGGGGCATTGCCAAGAGAAAGATGAGAGACATGAGACCGAACAATGCAGAAGAGCTGAAGGCCGCTATTGAAGCATCCTGGTCTTCCATAACACCTCAGCAGTGCCACAGGTTGATAGCTTCCATGCCACGCCGCATTGAGGCAGTAATTGCTGCAAAAGGGGCCCAAACCAAGTACTGAGTACATATGCATGCTTATACTTTTCAGAGGTCCGATATTGTTCTATGTACAATCCTTGTTTTATTGATTGCATGTAATATTCTAATTTTCTGAGATTGTGGATTTGGGGTTTTCATGAGCTGTAAGCCATAATCATCACAATTATGACAAATCACAGCTTGAACTATCTTGCTTTGCATGTAATGAGTCTATCTCATATATTAGTTTCACCTTTTAAGTTGTATTACTGAAATAAATGAACTTTTGCACGATATTCTAATTTTTTTCGAGTTTCATCTGTATATTATTTTGTGGGATTGCGCAGTTTGTCACACATTGAAAATGTTATATTTATCTGCTGTGTTGTTCAATGATATTGCACAGAGCGGCTCCTTTACTCTCCTTCTGGAGTCCCCCATAACTGCTTTCAGCTCCTCCTCTCCTGCATGTGCCCCCATGGCAAGTTGTATGCTGTAGGGAAACACATGTGGGCAAGCTCCTGAGCTGGGCTGTGTGCGATCATAGACACACACAGCGTAGAGCAGCCACGCCCCCCGCTCCCTCCCTACAGGATTTCATTGACAGCATCAGGAGCCAATGACTCGGTGCAGCCTGTGAGAAGAGGACAGTACTGGATCGATATAGGACTCAGGTAAGGATAACAGGCAGTGGAAGATTTTTTTTATTTAATACAGAGAATGAATTAAGGTAATAAACCTTTAGACTTTAGAACCACTTTATTGTGTGACAAGTGTAATGTGTTTGAACATGGCTTCCTGCATTTTTCACCATGGGGAAATGTGAAAAGGTGACAACATTGGAGAACAATTAGGATACAGGGACAGAGTGTTGTCACCCTATAACAGGAATTGCCTGAAAAAGCACCTTCATGGTAAGATCATCAGGTATTATTTTACTGAAACTTTGTACAGTGCTTCTAGGTAGGGCTGCAGCCTCTTATCGCATGACTCTGAAATGGCAAACATTCTAAGAATTGAAGCAGGGAGTGCTCAAAACTAGGGAACAAATAGTGTTACTAAACCCACCACAGTAAAATCAGTCTGTATATGCAGTAAAGCATGCTTGTTATACTCACTGTGGAAGGAGTTAATCCTCTGCATCGTGTAAAAAGGCTGTTTGATCCTGTCTTCTCTGATCCTCCCCTGCTTCCAGTGTCCGCTTCTTATCTCCTGATAAGACATATCGTGTGGAGTCACTCTGCACATGCTCAGTTTGGTGTGTATTGCTAGAGAGGGGTTTTTCTTTCTTGGAAGAATGTATGTGATCAGCACAGGGCCAATCAGCACTGGCCAGACAGAGGTCAGGGGTTCTGCATTCTCCTAGAGTAAAATGAAAACTCCTCCTACAAGTTTTAACATGTGCTCTGCTGGACACTGATAGAAGTCACATGACTGCTCTTAAATGCTGATGAGAAAAGGTATTTAGCAGTTTATATTTGCTAAAATAATTGCATTTCCATGTTATGTGTACTGTTGGAGACCAGATATAGTGAATGCAGGGTCCGGGGTTTAGTAACACTTTAAAGAGGAATATCATGGATATCTATACTTGTACCAGTGTAACAATGTATACACAATACCTGGTCAATGAAGTAGACACCACTACTTCAGTGATATTCCAATTGCTTCCATGTCCCATGCATTGTGAACACAGGAGATCAGCTACTCAATACAGGTGCCATTCAGAGAATGCTTTCCATTTTCTGAATAAATGCAAAGCATTCTGTGTTTGGACAAGGTGGAGAGTTGGGGGTGGAGACGTTATATTCTCCACCTCATCTAATCAGAGAATGCTTTGCAGGAGCACAGTGGTTCAAGGCAGCACAGTGGCTTAATGGTTAGCACTTCTGCCTGGCAGTACTAGGGTCGTTGGTTTGAATCCCAACCACGGCACCACCTGCCAGGAATTTGCATGTTCACCCTGTGCCTGCGTGGGTTTCCTCTGAGTACTCTGGTTTCCTCCCACACTCCAAAGACCTGCTGGTAGGTGACTTGGATCTTGTCTAAATTGTCCCTAGTATATATGAATGTGAGTTAGGGACCTTAGATTATACACCCCTTGAGGGTTAGGGACTGATGTGAGTATACAATATATATGTAAAAGCACTGCGTAAATTGACGGCGCTATATAAGTACCTGGAATAAATATAATGGGTCTTTTTAATTTTTTATCATGCACATGAAAATTTGAAAAAAAAACCCAATATTTTCTACCTTCTGCTGTAAAACATATCCAATAAAAATATAAAAAAATCAACTTTCTTCATAAAATTATGCCAAAATGTATTCTGCTACATGTCTTGGGCAAACCCCCCCCCCCCCCCCCCCCCCAACAAGTGTATATCGATTGATTTGCGTGAAAGTTATAACGGCTACAAATGATGGTATATATACTGTTTTCTTTTTTTTTACTACTGCTAATGTCGGTGATCAGCGTCTTATAGTGGGACTGTGATAGTGCTGCAGGCAATCTGACCCTAACTGGGGGGAGTGGGAACTGACTAACTGACACTGACATTTCCAGTGGCACCAATACAATAATCAGTGATAATACTATACACTGTCACTGAACTAATGCCATTGGCTGGGAAGGGGTTAACAACTAGGGGCAATCAAAGAGTTAACTGTGTACCTAAGGAGTGTAATCTGTGCTGCTTTTACTAAGTGATGTGACTGTTTTATCTCCCTGCAGGCAATAGAAACAGTCACACCTCTGCTCTGTGTACTCTGTGTTGTTAGTAAACACAGGGCTCTGTACTGTGATTCGCTAAGCCAATCAGCATAAATCATTGGCTGGGACCTGCTGATTGATTTGTGCTGTATGAATGGCAGCATAGGTGGGGCATCAGGTACCCCCTACCCGGATATGCTGGATTACATACAGTATACCATATTTTTCACTCCATAAGACACACTTTTTCCCCCCCAAAAATGGGGGAAAATGTGTGTGCGTCTTATGGAGCGAATATGGAGCTGCTGGCCCGGTATTCCCCCGTCGCCGCCGCCGTGTTAGAATACAGGGCCGGCCGCTCGGATCTACTGTGCAGAAGAACCTGTTCCTCTGTCCTACCTGTTCCTTGGTCTAGCGGTGTCCTGTTTCCATTGGACGTCTTCTCTCCCTGGCGCTGGCATCTTCAATGTGGGCACCCGGCTGTGACAGCTTGCGGCTTCAGGCATCAGCAATATAATCCAATAGCAGTGGGAGATTCGTCCATCCATACTGTTATGCATGGATGGTGGAATCTATGGATCTGTCATTCAGACCCCCCGGCCGACTGAGAGACGTCTTTACGTCTATGGCCAGCTCTAGTCTGCAGTCTCAATGGCTCAAATTCAGAACCATTTCGAAAAGAAGGTTATGGTCTCCAACGTTAGGGTTTTAGTGACCCGGGCTCCAGGCGTGCTGAATGAGTTCCATTTGGCAGCATAGATTACAGATTATATACAGATCTTCTTATTACCAGTTTCTGACCTCTGGACACTCACTATCCTTTTTTGGCAGACAGGAAATACGGCCTCATTGTCTATCGATTCTACATTTCACCTTCCTATAGTAATAGCTGAGTGTCAGGAAAGGAGAGCACTTGGGGACAGGTAAAGCCCTGTGGTGTGATGTTTAAAGAGAACCTGCCTCTAAGCAAGACACCCATGTGCAAAGCACAAGATGCAAGCTGTTATTCTCCTCCCTACCCTAGTCTGGACACTCGGCAGAAAAACTGACTTTTAGTAGTCCAGAAGGAGAATTCTGAGGTCCATCTGAGGTTTTCCTCACAAATATTATAGAATGTTAAATCTGTGATAACTGGCAATCAGTATTTCTGTACATGATATAATAGGGTGTCTATCAACATTTCATTTCTACACCCTGTTCCAAATTATTCTGCAAATTCTATTTAAGTGTCACAAAGATTAAATATTTTGTTTTTCAGTTTAACTCCTGGATGGCATTGTGTGTCAGGGCTCTTTTGATCACTGAAAACAATCTCGGACACCTGTGATAATTAGATTGGCAGGTGAGCCCAATTTAAGGAAAAACTACTAAAAGGAGGGTGTTCCACATTATTAAGCAGGGCACCATTTTCAAGCAATATGGGGAAGAAAAAGGATCTCTCTGCTACTGAAAAGAGTGAAATAGTTCAATGCCTTGGATGAGGTATGAAAACAATAGATATTTCACGAAAACTTAAGCGTGATCATCGCACTATTAAGAGATTTGTGGCTGATTCAGAGCACAGACGGGTTCGTGCAGATAAAGGCACATTGAGGAAGATTTCTGCCAGATCCATGCATCGGATCAAGAGAGCAGCTGCTAAAATACCATTACATAGCAGCAAACAGATATTTGAAGCTGCTGGTGCCTCTGGAGTCCCACGGACATCAAGGTGTAGAGTCCTCCAGAGTCTTGTAACTGTGCATAAACCTTCTATTTGGCCAACACTAACCAATGCTCACAAGCAGAAATGGCTGCATTGGGCAGAAAAATACATGAGGACTAATTTTTTAAACAGTCCTGTTCACTGGTGAGTGCTGTGCAACCCTGGATGGTCCAGATGGATGGAGTAATGGATGGTTGGTGGACGACCACCCTGTTCCAACAAGGCTGCGACGTCAGCAAGGCGGTGGTGGAGTCATGTTTTGGGCCGGAATCATGGGAACAGAGCTGGTCGGCCCCTTTAGGGTCCCTGAAGGTGTAAAGATGACCTCTGCAAAGTATGTGGAGTTTATGACTGACCACTTTCTTCCCTGGTACAGAAGGCAGAACTATGCTTTCCTAATAAAATCATCTTCATGCATGACAATGCACCACCTCATGCTGCAAAGAATACTTCTGCATCAATGGCTGCTATGGGGATAAAAGGAGAGAAAGTCATGGTGTGGCCTCCATCCTCCCCTGACCTCAATCCTATTGAGAACCTTTGGAGCATCCTCAAGCAAAAGATCTATGAGGGTGGGAGGAAGTTTACATCCAAACAGCAGCTCTGGGAGGCTATTCTGACATCTTGCAAACAAATTCAAGCAGAAACTGTCCAAAAACTCACAAGTTCAATGGATGTAAGACTTGTGAAGCTGCTATCAAATAAGGGGTCCTATTTTAAAATGTAACGTGACCTGTTAAAATGTTTAAAAAGTTAAAATGTTGTTAAAAGTTTGATTGAAATAGCTTTTGATTTCAGTAAATATGCTGCAAACACAACAAATGACAATTTTCAGTTCTTTACAACCTATAAAGTGTTTTGAAACTTACTGTGCGGAATAATTTGGAACAGTGCATTGTAAGTGTTTTATGTTTAACAAAAATCCTGTTATCATTAGGAGGTTTGTTCAATAAAATGTGAATTGTACTCTTAATAGTTGATAACATGAGAATTATGCTGACTGTTATTTACATCAATTATTTAGGTAAATGAGAAAAAATATAATTTGCATAATAATTTGGAACAGGGTGTATACTGGATCTTCTAAGGGCTCATTTACTTGCTTGCTTCAACTTTAGCACACATTAAAGCATCTAACGCTTCAACATGCTTTTTTGATGTGCTTTTGAGGCTTCGGTGAAGCTTTATTGAAGCTTTATAGGCTTGGTGTGTTGATTTTATATTTGTTTTAAAGTGGCTCAGTAGAGCCCTGGCTCAGTAGTACCCCCACTCAGCACATCGCCAGCTCCTTAGTACCCCTGTTCAGCATTAGTGATGGGCCGAATGCCCCCCCCCCCCCCCAAACGAAAGTTTGATCGCCAACTTTGAACAGGAACAATTCACTAAGCGGCATCTTACCACATCTGATATGCGGTAAGATACCGCACAACTACTAAAATACCGCATGAGTTATATTATTATTTCTAGTAGTGAAATATTCTTTAATGTTTCAGCTGTCAGCGGGGAACCGTGAATGTAAAAAGAATTGCCGGCATTGCCCATTAATTTAAAAACATTTTTAAAAATACACGTGCGGTCCCCCCTCAAACCATACTAAGCCCTTTGGGTCTGATATGGATTTTGAGGGGAACCCCCACACCAAAATTTTAAAGAATTGGCATGGGGGTCCCCCCAAAAATCCATACCTTACCCTTATCCCGAGCATGCAGCCCGGCAGGTCAGGAAAGGGGGGGGGACGAATGAGCGCCCCCTCCCGAACCATACCAGGCCACATGCCCTCAACATGGGGGGGGCACTTTGGAGCGGGGGGGCTTCCCCTTCCAAAACACCCTGTCCCCATGTTGATGGGGACAAGGGCTTCTCCCCACAACAGTGGCTGTTGGTT